TTAAATACAATTTTTGTCAGTCTCCCAAGCAGCCTATTAGAAGGCAATACATTTTTAGATTTTAGCTTCCATTTTGGCTAAAACTTGGGAAGGACAGCCATGTCCAAAATTCAGGATTACCAATTAATCTGTCTAGAGTATATAATAAATATTTTTCTCATAGCTAAGTTCGTAAAGAATCATTAAATTCTTAAAGTTTAAAATTTGAAGTCAAGGGGTTGCCTAAAATTTCCCTTACTTCTGGAGGCATTATTTTAAAAGCCCCTCATTACTACGGGGAAACCAACGTTTAATGTATTCCTCTAGACACCGTGGTCAAAGGCATCACACATTTGGACACCCGCATATATTACTACTTTCATAGAAATAAGTTCTATAAAATTCTTGCCGAGCAAGGGAAGTAACCCGTTAGCTCAACAAGACCTTCAACTCTCCATGCCAGACAGCCATCTCCTTAAACAGAATTTTTACAGTTAGAGGCCGTTCCAGCTTCATTTTAAGCTCCTAGGAGAGAGAAAGTGATCTGAAAAGGGGTGGTTCATCTAGAGAAAGCTGCCTCTCCTTAAGGCTAAGGACTGGTGTGAACCATTAGTTAAATAAGCTAGGCTTCGTTGGTTTCCATATTTGATTTCATATCCTAGCAAAAGACACCTCCCTAATATGGTTTAAAGACTAACAGGACCAGGAGGGAAAAGGTGGAGAATTTAGCTTCGTTGTTTTTTTTTTTTTTGTTTGTTTTGTTTTGTTTTTTAAGACGGTTATCTTGAACCGTTTAATACTGACTACCATGATACGCTGTTTTCTGTTTATCCAACTTTAATGTTGGATACTTTTTTTTTTTTTAATTCCCTTTTCACTAGACTGGACAACAAGCAGGATATCACGTACCTTCCAAATCTTCAATCCAGGGCACCGACACAACTAGATCGAGTCAGCTTTAATTGATGGAAAAGTGAGGGGAGTAGGGCACTTAGTTCTATATTACCTGCCTCGCTTGATATAACCCTAATCAAAGGGGAAACAGCTAAATCTGGTGAAAAAATCAAACCAGAGTGAATGCAGTAATTTAGAAGGGGGAGAAAGTTTCAACTAAGAGAGACAAGGAGGATCTCTAGGGTTGTTTGTTTGTTTGTTTGACAAAAGGCAAGGTTCGAACAAAAAGCAGAACCCCATTCCCCCCCCCCCCCCCCCCCCCCCCCCCCCCCACGGGGCCAGGACCAGAAACCTTCCCATCCCCCTCCCCAGCCACAAAGACCCTGGAACAAGTGACATCATTGCTATTTACATAATCACACAGTAGCCAGCACATTCCCCCCCCCCCCCCCTTCCAGCCGCCCCAGCCACCTTGTTCAACTGGGAGCCTCTCAAAGGTGCCAAGACTTTAATATTCATCCTAGTCCCTCTATACCCCCCTGAAGGGAAAGACAAGGGGTGGGGGTGGCACTACCATTGGTTCCACCAGCCTTATTCCCATTAGCAAAGAGACAAAGTCACGTCCACACTAATCCCTCTAGGGGGTGGGGGGAAGTGGGGCCCCATCAAGAAGTCTGTTAAGATGGCCAATTCCGTCTTCTCTGAGCTAGGACGGGAGGGAGTCTAAAACCCTACAGTGCCTTGCTACCATCTTCCTCAAGTTCACAGGCGGCTGAAGGCAGACGTGCCACGTTGCCTTGGAGACTGCAGCAGTCTTCAGAACCCACAGTGGTTGGGCTCGGCCACCTACTAGGGCTTAGAGCTCTCCTCCCTATATCCCTCCAACCCATCTGCCGCAGTGCAACTCTCAGGGGGAAAAAAAAAAACTGACCATAGCTGGCTGCTGGTTCCACCCAATCACCTCTCGTGCCGGGCTCCCCAACTTTTGCTTTCGATAAGCAGTCTGGGCCGCCCTCTTCCCAACCCGCCTTTCTCTATGGGTCTAAAGGTCATTTTTGCAAAGGTGGGTCCCCTTTACGGGAAGCCCACGTATTCGCTGTCCCCTCTCAGGGCTGGAAGCTATTGAATCTCACTGTTAATGACAAATCTTAGCGCCCTCTGCAGGGGTTGGCCTTCTGGACCCAAACCCTAACTGCCACCCCTTCTCTTGACCTTCCTCCCCAGGACGTGGTGCGGGTACAGATTACCCATTCGGCGGCATTCTCGCCTTTCTCCTCCCCCCAGCTCTGGTGGCCCTGGGAGCAGAGCGGTGGAACCGTCTGGGATCAATACAAGCTGCCTGCCTGCCGGGTGGGTTCATGCAAAAATGCCCTCTTCCGAACAGGGCCAGAGAACACTGGACTGCCGCAGTGGGTGGGAGCGGCCAGCGCCTTCGTTGCCTTTCCCACCATTTCCCACCCCCAGTCAAGGCCGGAGCCGCTGCACTGGGGGGGGGGGGGGGGGGGGGGGGGAGGGAAAAAGGGACCTGACGGCCTGAGAAACCTGAATTAAGATGCCGAGGATGACGAGCTACTCCGGGAAAGGGGAGAGGGGCTAAAGCCTCCGGTCCAAGGGCCCAGGACTCTCAAAATAATATTCCTGTAGCGCAAAGCGCTTTACAAATTTCATCTCATACGGTCCACACTACTTATGGGGTGTGGGGGAAAATCGGGCTTGTCCAATTCCCAGGATGGTCCTGGCTAAGTTTTCTAAAAGCATAATTTCAACTGCCCTGTGAGAGAGGGGTTTGGGGGTTATCAAAGAAACTATTCCCCCAATTCTGACCTTGAATGTGTATCTAAACACATTCTTCTTGAATGAAAGGGAGCTGAGAAAAATATTAGCTCTTACCTTATATATGGGCTAAAAAAAAAAAAAAACCCAAAAGCCCCCACTAATTTGAAAAGGACAGAACTGCGAAGTCTCTTAGCATATTCACAGTTTTAACTAAAGGAATCTCCATTGAGCTGGAGAGTTTGAGTCAGGGTGTAGGTAGGAAAGTCTGAACTGGTCCCAAGACATTTTCAAGTGGACCAAAAAATTAAAGTATAAAAGTGTGGGGATGGTGGTGTCAATTCTAATCTTGCCCAGCGGTCTGAGCTGTTATACATATGGGGTGTTACTTTGGTAACTCTGCTTCAAAGGGGAACACTAGAACTGCTGCCTGTAAATTACCTATAATATTTCATTCTCCAGAGCTCACCAGGACCTACCCCACTTTATCTGGAGTACCCACTTTTCTTTACCATGCCCTTCAGGATTTTTCTTCTTTCCTTGAATGGGAAAAAAAGCTTTAAAAAAAAAAAACATTCTTTTTCACTATTTTATGTCATAAAAGGTTCCTCGCTCAAAGAAAATAATGAGTCCCGGATCCCAGAATTAATATTTCTGGGGGAGAAGGGGTCCACAGAGACTAGACTGCACAGAGATGACCAGGTTCTTTGTGTGTTTCAAGCTGGAAGCTTAGCGTAGAAACGGAACAGTTTACCATATCACATGCCACTATGCAAGTATATTATACATAACCAGAGCAAAGGTCTTTTCAGCTCTGATATATTCCTAAATGGACCTTTAGGTTTTCCGTGTAATGTTGTGTTTTTTTTTTTCTTTTTTCCCTCCCCAGAACAGGAACATGAAAGGGAAAAACAATGACATTTGAAACAAACCAGCCAAGGTGCGAAATACAGAGAACGCAAGCTTTGGGCACACTGGCAAATGGAGGGGAAAAGCACACTTTGGGAAACCTTTTTTTTTTTTCTTGAAAACATCACTCGGCATGGGGCTGTTAGCTACCTTTAGGGCATAGAAAACCCCAAGAATGTCTTTTTCTTAGGTCAACAGGGGCAGCACGTCGACAACTTCCAATTCTATTTTTCCCCGACCTATTGCCCTCTTTCCACCCAGACCAGCCTGAAGCTAATCTTTGCTTCTCCACCTTCCCTCCCACCATGGACAAAGGCAACTCTAGTTTTCAAGTTAAACCTTGGCGATTTACCTTCTGGTCTTGACCTCAGGGCATTCCCCGAAGCACCTCTAAGAGCCCACCGCCCCACCACTCCTTTGCTAAACCCAAGAGGTGCAGGACGGCTGAAGGACCACAGGGAGGAGGCAAACGCCTTTGGAGCGCCAGCTTCGCGGCCATGTAGCTGCGCCGCCGCCGCCAGGGCGGCCGTCATAGCCTGGGGAGATTTCTCCATAGGCTTTTTTTTTTTTTTTTTTTGGTCAAGTGACAGCCTGCACTAGTACGGGCTGCGCCGTCGGAAAGACCTGCGCATCCTCTAGGCTGGCTGCAGGAGCGCCCGCCCTACCCATTTCCTGCTCCCTCCTTGCTAAGTCTCTGCTCAAATCTGGGGCTCCAAGGACCTGGGGTGTGGGGAGAAGTCTACGTGGAAAAAAGACCTCTGCAGGGTTTTTTTTATTATTGCAGGGGTGGGGGGGGGGTGGATCAGAATGATGGCTACTCACACATTTGCAGCTCTGCCGACGGCGGGCAGCGGCCGGGGGCTCCGAATCCCGGGCTTGCAGAGACCCTTCCCCATTTTCACGGGGAGGGGCTATCGAAAACGTACTTACGGTTTGTCTCCTTCTTCTCCCCCACTGTGATGCCGCCGCCGACGAGCCGCTCACTCCCTCACTTGCCATCCGTTATGTAACGCAAATCAGCCCATCTCATTTTCTGCTAATGCCCCCCTCCTCCCAAAACTGCAATTTCTCAGCCCTCCTTCTCCCCTTCTCAGTGTCCTCCCCCGGGCTGTCCCGTCCGTTCAGTTCCCAGGTTCTGAGGTGCGCAACCCAAAGAGAACCTGCTCCTCCCCTCGCCACCTCCCTCCACCCAAAAGTCTGGCCCGAAGCCCGGGTTTAGTGGGGATGGGATTGGGGGGGGGAAGGGTAGCTGGAGGGGTCTCAAGGGCTGAAGAAATCCTTCGGCCGTAGGCAAAAGCCACCGAGCGCCGTCGTGGCAAGCCGTTTTCGTGGTGCAGAGAGGCAGCTTCCAGCGCCCCCTCCCCTTCCTGCAGCGGTTTGGACGGGGAGGGGGGGAGAAGAGAGGAGGAAGGAGAAGGGGGAGGAGGGAAGGGAAAGACGATTACCTCTGCCTCTTCGGGACCGAGTGTTCCACCTCGATGAGTTTTCCGTGTACCTCCACTTTACCTGCAAACGAACAAGAGCAAAAGGGGGCTTGAGGCTGCCGCGCGCCCAGGGCCGCCACCGCCGCAATTCTACGTCGCCTGTCTGCAGCCCCCCCCCACCTTCCTTCCCTTCCCCATCGGCCTAAAGCTGCACCCAAATAACCGCAGGGAAAAACTGGTAGTTGGCAAGCAACTAAGGGGAACCGCTTGGAAGCCTCCCAAGTGTGAGGGGGGGCGCCTGCACCCCAATCTCAAACCTAATCTCTCACTTTTCTGGCACAGGGCGGGGGCGAGGGGAGGAGGGAGGAGAGCACCCAGAAAGAACAGCCTCCGCAGCTAGAATGCTGGGCACGTTTCCCACTCTCTGGTCTCCCCCACCTTACCCCTTTCGCCCAGGGATCCAAACCCGGGGGCTAGAGACGCCCCCACTTCGCTCGGCAACAAAAGCTACCTCAGGTAGTTCCCAGAGGCCACAGACATAATTAAAAGGTGGGGTCACGGGGGGCAAGGAGAACCCCAAAAACCCCAAGTTACGTTTTTCCAAAAGGATGGACGCCCCCAAACAGGGCGACAGGGCGCAAAGTCCCTGAGGAACCCCAAATCCACAACTCTCCAGAAATCTGGCTGTACGATGCCCCAACTAGTCGGACCCTCTTTTTTTCCCCCCTTCTACTCTTCTTCCTCGACTAACACCCTTTTCATCTCCCCTGCCCCATACGCTCCCCCCCCATCACCCAGCTTTCGGGCGAGTTTCTAAGAGCAGCCCGGCCTCGCCCCCTACCTCGGACAGCCCGGGGCGCCCCCCCACCCTTTGGGCCGCGGCGCCATCGTCGCCGCCACCCCCCGGAACGAGCCAGGGCGAGTGCGGGCACTCTTCGAGTCGCCAGAAAAACAGGCTGGTCTCCGCCTGGGCTGGGGTGGCTGCGCTTCGTCTCCTGCCAGGCTCGTCGGTGGTGGTGGCGGTGGTGGTGGTGGCGACGGCGGCAGCGGCTGCAGCTGCAGCGGCGAGCCAGAGCCGCAGCCTGGCAGCGGGGGCGGGGGCGGGGGCGAGCGCGCGGACCCCCACCCACCGCACGCACGCACAGACGGACCCCGCCGTGCATGCACACGCGCGCGCGCGCACACACACGCACACACCCACCCTTCTTCCGCACACTAGCATGAAAGCCAAATGCCGCGGCCCCCGGAACCGGGGGGGGGGGGGAGGAAGAGATGGAGTAGGCGCGGGCTATGTTTTAGACCCCCGCGCCCTGACAGCGGCCAGGAACCCACCTGCCCCTGACTCTCGGCCGCGTCCGAGAAGGAGTCCGAATGAAAGGGTCTCCACTCCTCCTCGGCAGCGACAGCGAGCGCAGTTCTCAGTCCCCCCCGAGCCTCTTAGGGTGCGTAGAGGGGGCGGGCGAGACGGGTCAGCAGTGCTGTGCTGCGCGGCTCCGTACCGGCTCGCTCGCTCCCTGTGCCCTACCTGAGAGCCCTCAGTCCCTGCCCATCCCGGTGTTCTGCCTGCCTCTGTACCCTTCTACCCACCCCGCCTTCTGCTGGTGCTGCTGCTATTGCTGGCGCTCTTGCTGCAAACCCGGCTGAGGTTAGCACAAAAGAAAAAATAAATAAAACGAAAAAACGAGTAGACCACCCCGCCTCCCGCTGCACTTAATTCCCACCAAGAGCGGGCGCGAGTCCCGAGACTGCGCCCGCCTAGAGAAGGGGGAGCGACCAACCTGCGGAGAAAAACATGGGGACGGTGAGCGCTAGGGGAGAAGGGAGGCAACGGGCACTGGGTGAGCGCAGGTGGCTTTCTGCTCCGACCCCGAATCTGCCCTTTCGCTTCTACCCCCTACACCACCCTAGGGTTCCCCGCCCTCTCCTTCTCTCTCCCCACCTCCCAGGGCAGCGTGCGCATTACCTGACAGCGTCTCCGCCGGTTAACTGGGGAGACACCCGACAGGTTGTGAAGAGTAGAGCAGAGATTGGGGCAAGCGTCAGGGCTAGAGGCAGCTAAGGGAAACCCCAGCGGCACCGGCAGGACGCCTCCTCATCTGTCCGTCCTTTCCCTTCTCGCCACCCCTCAATCTGACCATCCCCGTGGGTACCCCGCGGTCTTTCCCCGTACGAGCTGCGAGTGTCGCCCCTTGGCACCAGACCCCCGCTGCCGCTAGTGTCTTGGAAAGGGAAGGTAAAGGCTAGTGACTGGGGGTCGCACGGCGACGAACAGGTTTGTCCGTCCCCCAGGAGTGCCGAGGGAGCCGTGGGCTCTCACCCCGGACTTAAGGGGACCCACCTGATAGGGTTTCGATGGCCTTCATCGCCCAGTTTTCGTCGGGGCAGTCCACGAACGCATAGCCCGCTTTCACCAGGAAAGAGCCGGTGTAAGGGATCTTGGAGTCATTAAAGACACTCTCCAGATCCACCGGGCTCACGCTGTCGCTCAGGTTGCCGATATACAGCTTGTTCATCGTTTTTCGAGTGGGGCGAAATGGTTGAAATTAAAGTAAAACCAAATTTAAGAAGAAAATATAGCAACGAGCGGCTGGACCAGTTGTCTCTGGTCCTTGCCCCTTTTTTCCTGATCTAAAAGCCCCTAACGGCTACGCTACGCTACACGTCTGATGCTAAAAAACCAAACAACAACGAAAGGCTGAGAAGGAGAGGGGCAAGGCTAGCCGTGGGTCAGTGGGCTTCTCTCTTTCCCTGGCAGGGAAGGAAAGATAGCTGCACTGGAGCCCCGGAGCCAGAGTGAGGACTTCTCACTCTGCAGACGTGCGAGAGCAAAGCAGACCAGCTTTGTGATGGGAGGATGGCGGGGTCCGCAAGAAATAGGAGGAGAAGGAGGAGGAGGAGGAGGAAGGGGGGGAGGAGGAGGAGGGAAGGGGGGGAGAAGGAGGAGGAGAAAGAAAAAAACTACTTTTTGTCTCTGCTCCCCGAGCCCCTTTGCCAGCAGCGAGCGGGCTGTGAAAATGTCACACTGCGTGAGTGGAGGCGCCGCCTCCCCATAAAAAAAAAAAAAAACGTAGAGGGAGGCAGGCAGGGGGAGGGGAGGGGAGGGGGGACCGGGGGGGGGGGGGGGAAGAGGAGGAGAGAGAGGAGAAGGAGGGGGAAAAAAATCACTTGGATAGTCCGGCTATTTGAATGAGCCACGTGTTCAAACTACAAATCAACGGTCTCACGTGAAGAATCCTGGCTCCTCAATTAAAGAGATTTAACCAAAAAGGGGGGAAGGGGTTTGGGGTAAAGGGGACTGGAGAAAAGGGGGGTAAGAAAATCGGAGGAGAATAAGGGAGCAAAGAAAAGGAGATTGGGTGAGGGTCAGCAAAGAGGAGGAAGAAAAGACACCCAGAGCAATCGGTGCTAACAGCCAGCTTGAAAGTACAGAAGCTCGAGTTTAGGGCTGTTTAATGGGGAGAAGAAGCTACAGGAAACCGAAAGAGCGAATTTCTCTCTCCCTCGCTCTCTCTCTCTCTCTCTCTTTTTTTTTTTTGTTTGTTTCTGAGAAGGGGGAAGGGGTCCTAGCCTCCGAGGTTATCTCCCTTGGAGGAAAAAATTGGAAAATGTGATTTTCTTGGGTATTTCACACACACACACACACACACACACACACACACACACACACACACACAATCCCACACCATAGCACACAGTCCAAAGCATAAAGCTTTGATAATGATAAACGTTAGACTCTCCCTCTCTCCTTCAGGGCTGCTGCTTGAGTGAATGTAACCTCCTGCAAATCGGGGAGGAAGTTTTCTGGGTTTACCATTGGAGCAAAAGCGAGGAGGGGAGAGTTGGGAGGGGGATAGAGGAGGGGGGAAGGGGCGGTGGGAGATTGGCAGCACAAGCCAACTCCCCCCCTCTCCCTCTCTCTTCCCCCCGCCCTCCCTTGCTTCCTTGCTCGCTCGCTCGATTCCTCCCTCCTCTCTGGAGCATTAATCTGAGGGGTCTTCGGGGCTCGGCTCCTCTCGGCCAACGTGGCCCAAGCGCGGGTGCACAGGGTGGGTGAGTCAGCGGATGAGCTTGCTAGAGAGCAAGCGAGACGGTGGTCGGTTCGGGTGGGGTGGGCGCTGCTCGGTAGCCGCGGGCCTCCTGGGCCCGACTGGCCGCCGGAGGAGGGGGCTTCGGAGGGGCACCCAGAAGGGACCCTTCCAGCAACCACAGCACATCCACCTCCCATTTCGTTTTTGGAGGCTCTCCTGGTTCTGCCTTGCCATTGGTTGCAAAGCACCGAAAAGACTAGGGGGCTTCTGGTGGGACGCAGCCGGCTAGCCTGCGGGCTCCCGGGGCCGCCGAGGGGGTGGGCGGGGGAAACGGCCGAGAGTTTCTCTGCAGCACCGAATCGGGCTCCGAAATGGTAACGTTTCTGGCTTTAGTTCTGCTGGGTGGTCAGCTGCTGGGCCTGTAGGGGCCCAGCTCTTGGGTTTGAGGGGTGGGGGGCGAAGGACAAAGGGAAGGGGTGACGGCGGCGGGGTGGCTCGGCCGAGTGGCTGGCGGGGAAGCGAGCTCTTCCTGTGGCTTCTAAGGTGGCAGAGGAAGAGGGCTACCCCCTCTCTTTTTCCCCCTTCTGAATTTACTGAGGGTATAGAAGGCACCCTAAGAGAAGGGGTCCAGAATATCCCTTTCCTTCGTCTCGAATGGTAATTACCCGAGAAATATCGAGAGTGTTGGCCTCGATTTTGCAGGTTCCCTATCGGGCTTCAGGGGCCCTTCATAACCTACCCCCACTTGCAAAGGAGACAATGCTGGGTTTGTGGGGGTGGGGTCTGGGGCCAGCCGAGCCTTCCCGGGCAAACAAAATGTTGACTGAAGATGAAGAAGGGAGACGGAAATGAAAGGTTGGGCTGTATTTCGTATAGAAAAATCGAGTAGGTTTTGTTAAATAATTCTGGGGACTCCAGTCAAAGGTTTGATTTATTCCAAGACAGATATTTGAAAGGGAGATGTGAAAAAAAAAATAGGTATTCTGTGAAAAATATTTGCAGGTTTTTTTTTTTCAAGTAACGTGAATCAAATTTCACATATAGGTTACAAGGTAATGAAAACATGTTGAATTGCTTTGTTACCTTACAGGGAGAAAAGTGGTGCAGCGGTTTTCCCCTTTTTTACAAAAATTTAGAAAATTTTTAATTTAATCTGGGAAAATATGAATGAATTTTAATTTTGATGGATTTATTTTTTGTCGAGTAAAACAGTTTGGCATAAAGGCGGGGTGTCGGGGTTTGTGTGTGCGAATGCACCTAGGGGATAGGAAAGAAATCATTATCGGGCACAGAGTGATATTTTAAATTAGGGTTTTTTTTTCCCCTTTAAAAAGCAACAGTTATTTTGTGACCTTTACGGTGGTATTAAGTTGCTGATATGGGCCGACGCAGCTTTTTTTTTTTTTCTTCTTTCCAAAATGCAACTCATTTTTCTAGCATCTGCCTCTACCAAACAATAGAGATGTGGCATTTTGTTTTGTTTGGAGGTGGGTTTTTTTGCTTTCTGCTTGGTTTGTTTTGCAATTCAGGTTCACTGTTACCATATATTCAGCCTAGTTTTATTTTTCCCAAGTTTTTAATTTAGCGAAGTTTTGGGGATGGGGAACGGGAGTGATCACAACTTTCATTTTGTACAAAAAAAAAAAAACTGAGAAATTGGCAATTTTCTTTTCTTTTACACTAACATTTCAGGTTTTTAAATTTTTTTTTTTCACTTCTCATTGACCGCTTTGGAACCTAACATTTTTCTTGAAGGATCTTCAATGAGCAAAAGGTTGGGAGAGATATTTTAGTCCCTTGGAAGACAATATTGGTTGAGTCGAGGGGAAGAAAAAAAAGCATTAAAACAGCACTCAAAAGGAACTGGGGCTACATTCTTCACAGATATATAGTAGAGATATTATCAGTTTGATTGTTGTTTAACCAAATGGGTAAGTACATTTTTTCCTATGTGAACAAAACAAACCAAAAGAAAAAAGACTGCTGAGGCTTCCTCATTGTTAGAAATAGTCTCTCTCTCTCTGATAGACCATTTATTTAAATTTTTACAAACTAGTTGCTGAGCTATATAGTACTTCGGATCCATTTCTCTCTGTAATTGCTTTTCATATGGTAGAAAAGATATTACCGTAAATGATTTGGTCACCTTAAGCTGTGTCCAAAATAAGTCAACTGAGCCTGCTTCCTTCTGGTATCCTGACAGGGATTTACTATTTTTAAATTAAGAAACTGGAAACTCTCCAATTGCCTTAAAAGTCTTGATTATTTGTAAGGCTGTCTGCTATTCAAAACTATGAAAAAGCTTCTCTAAGGTTTGTCTTATCACTATCAACACTTAATATAAAAATTAGAATTTCAGATTTCCAGGGGGTTTTGGAAAATAATTTCATCTAATGGTTTGTATAAATGACAAAAAAAAAAAAAAAAAAACAAACCACACACAGAAAATTTGATGCAGCTTCTGACCCAATGGATCCTACTGATATATCATCTCTACTGAACAGAAGTGGATTGCTTTCATTACAAATTATACAAACCTTCATATTAATATTTTTGTCTCTATGTTTGAGGGTAACAAGGAGATATCCAAACACGAGGGACAAACTGCCCTTCAGACTTCAGAAGGTACTTCTCCCTCCTTAAGAATATTCATACTCAATGATTCTAAAAATCACAATTTTCCAGTAGCATTTTAACTAAAAATTGTAGACAATTACTGGTTTTTTTTTAATGCCGAGTCTCATTTTTGTAGTTCAAAAATAGGCAGTTCTAGCAATTTTCCCCACTCCAATATTAATGCCGAGAATCATTTGTATTTACTCTCAAATGGAGAAGGATTGGGGTGGGGGGATTCTTTTTTGCTCCTCAACTACGACCTGTTTTCCCTCTAGGGCTAGCCTCCTCAATTCTTTATCAGCCTGACCTGGGGAGGGGGGTAATAAAATTATTTTTCAGGGATCCCTTTTCTGTCACAAAGGTTGGGAAAAAACCAATTACTATCACAATATTCACAGGTTATATATGTAAGAGTCACACAGGGAGGAAAGGAAGAAGTATTCCTTGTTCCTAGCCCTTGCTGTCTTAAAGCAAACAGATACACACTAAGGGAACTGTGAGCACTTACACGGATGTGCCTTGTACAAGTTTAGTAATATTTGCTCAAACAAACAAACAAACAAACAAAAACCCAACCACTTTTATTCCTTTAAACCAACTCTCCTGGACGCAGATCTGCTTCAAGTTGGTGTATGCTGGAGGGTCTGTGGACTCTGCCCACCCACTCCCTTGGAATCGGCCTTCATTTATTTTGTTTGCATTCAAAGACGGAGATCAGAAAAGAAGATGGGGTGGTTTCCTTGTTCCCTGGCTGTCACCCAAAGAGAGCCGGATCTTCGAAAGTCACAGGGAAGGAAAGCCTTTTGCCTTTCTCTTCTCCAGTTTGGCCCGGGAATTACCCCCACCACCACAACCACCACACACAGACG